CAATTGTGAAAATTGTATTCTCAAGTTCGATTATGGTTACGACATCCCTTTCCATAGTTTGAATTGTGAGATTTGGCGATTAGTCTAACATTTGGGACTTATTGATATAAGTTATGAATTGTTTAGACACACATATGAGTTATCTAAGGAAAAGGTGTATAAGTTTAAGAAGCTTAGATAAAGGCTTATCGAAGCATCTGGTATTAGAAATATGAACTTCAGAAATTCAATAGGCATTGTTTACTGGAAATCTAGTTGTTTTCTGAATACATGTCAAAGCTAGTGGGAGCATTAAGGAGAAAGAGAGAATATTATGGTTTATTAAGAATAATATATTAAAGGAGAAATCATACTTATTTAATTAGTATTGGTCATAAATTAATTAGGAATTAATTTGGTGACTAAAAGAGATTAATTAAATAAAGGGGTATAAACTGTCAAATGTATGATAGTTAAGTTTTGGGCTAAGGAAGCCTTATGGACTTAAGGGGGAACGAAATTATGATGGGGATCCATCATATTTTCATCCAAGGCCTTATTCCAGAAGGTTCCTTGGGCTGCTTGGTGGTTAAGCTGTCCATTAGGGTTTAGATTGAAACCCTAGCAGCCTGCAAGTATAAATAAGACCCCTAGGCTGTAGAGATTGGCTACACATGCTTCTAAGAGAGCCCTATGGCCGATTTTAGCACCTCTCCCCCTCTCTCATATTGCCTTCTTGCTTGTGGGGTTTGTGAACCATTAAAGGAGTTACAATTGTGACTCTAAGCTCAAGATCAAGAAGATTACAAGGATTTCAAGCTACTTGAAAGAGGTAAAACACTTGGATCTGTTTTTCTTTATGATAATTTCGAATTATATATGATAGATCTAGATTTGTAAGTCTTGGATTCAAAACATGTACAATAGAGAAACCTAGATCCAAGCATTAGGGTTTATATGAGCACATAGGATTGTTTCTTATGCATAAAACCCATCAGTGGTATCAGAGCCTTGATTGGTTTCAATTGTATGTGATGCTTAACTGTTTTGCTTACTGAAAATTGAGTTTTTTTTTGCGTTTGCCCGACTCAACTCGGCGAGTAAATATTTGGACTCGGCAAGTTGGCCCCTACTCGGCGAGTCCAGAGCTGACTCGGCGAGTTCGTGCGTCAGACAGAGGGTATTTCGGGATTTAGTTGCTGTTTTGACTTGGATCTGATGCCTAAATCGTTTTTTGAAGTTAAAATCCGAATTTTATCTAAATTAAATGATTATCCTTGCCAAAACAATAGATAATTTCAAATCTTTTGAATATTGGTTGTTTATATATATATATATATATATATATATATATATATATATATATATATATATATATATATATATATATATATTAAATTATAGAATGATTTTAACAGATTCAAAGCTAATATAATAACTTTTTTGATTATTAACCAATAATAAACTATGATTTTCTGGAGCTTAAATAATATATTAAAGTCATGGTTGCATGTTCAGCCTCACGTTTTCTCTAATCATGTCCCATGTGTCCCATAAACTCTTATGCTTATATTAGAAACCGTAAACAAATCGAGGCAATTACAACAATCGTCATCCACTTTCATTTAATATGTAAAGATTAGTCCTTTGTCCTTTGATTATTTTCATTTTAGTCTACATGTTAACAGTTTTACGCCAATTAGATCCATCATATTGCCTTTCTCAAATGATTTGGGATCAAGTTGGGATTTGTTTTTTTTTTGTTAGTAAATATTTAAAGTGATTTCTTTTTTGGAGTTCGTTTGTTGTCAATGAGGATTGTTGAATATGAAGACTGAAGTTTACTGAGAACAACAAACCCTCTATTAAATAAGCCTGCCTGAAACAAGCAACCATATATATGCAACCATATATATGAATTGCTAAATAATACCACGTTGGTTACAATCTCACAAAAGGTTATATTATATATAATATGAGTAGAAATACGAATATATCATATATTTTTAGTTACAATATCTCACAAAAAATACCACTATATATCATATATTTTTAGTTACAATCTCACAAAGGGTTATTTTATATACAATATATAATCATAATCACAAAAGTCGTGATCATGTTTTGTTTTTTTAACGGGCTTATCTTGTTTAACATACATATATCTATATCTATAACTATATTTATATATACTTATAAATGAAACATTTTTCCTTTCACCACGTTCATTTGAAACTACCATGTATTTTTCTTTCACCATGACACCACATTCATTTGAAACTCTTATGACTTTTCAATTTCTTTCTAATAATAATTATAATTTGGTTAATTAGGTTAAATAAATATCAAATCTAAAGTGTAATTATATATAAACTAAATTTCAGTATTAAAATAATATTTTTATTTCTACTTATAAAACTATGTTTTTTTTAGCTTTTAACATATTATACTTAATTTATTAGTTTTAATATATTCTTGGATGTAAATCATTATCATTTTAAAGATTCAATTTTGGAACAATTTGTATAAAATACTTAAATTATTAATTTAGATATAACATTACAGGGTCAAGTTAAATATAAATGTTAGTTTAATTTAAACAACCAAAATAATATTTTGTAAATAGTTAAAAGTAATAAATGGTATCGTCTTTCTAATAATCATTATAAGTTGATTAATAAGGTTAAATAAATATCAAACGTAAAGTGTAATCATAAATAAACTAAATTTCAATTTTAAAAGGATATCTTTACTTCTACTTATAAAGTTATGTTTTTAACTTTTAACGTATTATACTTAATTTATTAGATTTAATATGTTATTGTATGTAAACCATTATTAGTTTAAAGTTACAACTTTTGAACAATTTGGATAAAATACTTAAATTGTTAATTTAAATATAACATTACCATGTTGACTTAAATATAAATTTCAGTTCCACTTATAAAAGCAAAAAATGTTTTGTAAATAGTTAAAAGTGATAAACTGTAGTGATAAATACAAAAACTAAATCGTAATATCAGTTTAACTAAAACATTTCATAAATATATTTTTATAATCGTTAAAAGTTTTCAAATAAATAGTTTAAAATAACTTACAATAACAATAGTTAAAAATAAATCTATATAAATGATTATATTGTTACATTTAAAAATAAAAAAGAAGTGTTTGTTGTTTTAATAATTATAATAATAGAAATTAAAACATTAAGTAAATAAATTTTTAAAAATTAATTAATAATAACAACAACTATAAATAATATTAAACCATATATTATATTTAATTTTATTCATGTGTAACTCACGGGTAGAAGTCATTCAAACGATTGAGACTATACAGTTATAATAGATGTATATATTATCATAATTCAAATAATCAATATATTATATTAAATTAGTATAAGAATTACTTATATCAAATTTAACAACAACATTATCGTTATATTTAAAAAAACATATATTTGTAAAAACTTCAGCTATACAGATGTTTCTATGCAACATGCGGACATTCACCTAGTAAACATTATAAACCTAGCACATTCATATTCTTATTTTTTTGGATTTACACGTTTAATATTAGGGTGCACCATATCCCTAACCACGTCTCTCTTTTACATCAACATTACTCTCTCCTCCTTTTAAATCCCTCAACCATATTTCAACTATGGAAATGTATAAAATTTAAATTCCAACTAAAAATAAAATCTAATTAAATTCCAACTAAAAGAATGTATAAAATTTAAAACTTTAAATAAAAAACACACAACTAAACGGTGTAACTTAACTTTATTGTTGATTTGTTGTAGTTTTTTAAATCTTCATAATTTTGTATTATTTTTATAGGTTTTGGTATATCATTATTCAATAATTCAAGTCGTAGATATATAATGTTTGATATTATGTAAAAAATCAAATGATCAAACCAAACTTCTCTCCACCTTGTTGGTTAATTGTGTTCTTTTTATGTGTTCATTTAATAATTATAATAATTATATCGTTACATAACAACTGATATAACAAACATGTTTGACAAGACTATTGAGAGTTTCTAGTTTTTAGTTGTCATGTTTAATTGATTGTTTCTCTACATAATCAAAGATAAAATTCTTCATTAAAGGACCTTTTTTTGTGAAGGACAAAACTATTGAATGAAGAATAGTAGAGGGACCATTTCGGATAATTGAGTCAAAGGAACAAAATATAAAAAAGATCATGACCCAACGCAGATCCCATTCCCATTGTCTCTTTCCAACAAAACAGGGTTCTCTTTCTCTCTTTCTCTCTATCTCTCTCCACCAACTTCAGGGAGTTCCATAAATTTAGGGTTCTTCATATTTTTCTGATCATTACAAAAGATTTATATTTATCAGACCCTTATCGGTATTTAACCTCCATTCAGATAATATATCAATAGCGAATAGCTCAATCTTCCAAACGCAGCTCCCCCCTCGCAGACTTCAATTCAATTATCTGTGTTTCACTTTTCGAAAGCCTATCCACCCGAATTCAGGTTTGTTTTCGGTTTCTTTAGCTTTTGATTCTCGCACGCATCAATAGTTTCATTTCCAGGAATCATATGATATTTCCATTGGTCGGATTTCTCGAAAGTCAACAATAGAACAAACGTTTGACCTTTTCCGATTCTTATATGGTTTTAATGTATCACACCTTTTTTCTTCGAGATTTTGTCAGCTTGATGATAGTTATTTTCAGATTTACGTAAAAACTTCAAATTTTGGTTTTCCTAACTAACTTTTAAGCCGGGTTCTCATGCAAACAATGACCAAGTCAAAATAATTTAATTAATTGTGGTTAAATGTTAATCAATTTGACCACTACAAGTCATGAATGAGCTCCAATTTTATGTTTTATCATCGAATATATTCCTTATTCCTAATTATCTCTGTAATTTTATTACCAATTGTTCTGTCGTTCAGGATTCTTGAGACCCTCCCCTGAAGTTTACCTTCATTGGGAGTGGTCATCTATTTAAATCGACATCAAAGAACTTGAGTGAAGAAGATGAAGAGAGCTTTTGTTAAATCTTTTTCACCAATTCGATCTGCTTTTCTACATCATGGAGAGAAAATATCAACCGGAGTTGCACAAAGATCATATATAAATAACGGGAATTTCACTACATCATCTTACAATATCTGTAAATGTGGACTACCTTCTTCTTATATGTTTTCAAGAACAATTTCTTCCGATGCTGCTGAAGTAACCTACAAAGGTTCCAAAATTATAATTCAAAAGCTTAATTTAGTCATTTTGTTATTGTTAAAAGTTGAAAATTTTATTATGTTGTGTTTATAACAGAAGCGAAAAGATCAGGGCCTCTTGTGGAATACGAGAGAAGAATCAAAGCTGGTGATCTTGAAGATGGTGATAATAGTCAGGTAATTTAGAAAACGTTTAGACTATTTTTGAAATTCCAAAAACACCCTTTAGGTTTTAAAAAATTAAGGGAATATACAGATAGGCACCTTAAGAGAAATTCAAAGACTTTATGATGAGCTTGTTGAGTCAGTTGATACCTGTCGTTTGGATCGTGATTCTGATTCTGGAAAAAAAGAGAGGTAAATTATTATTATTATCATTTATCAATTATCAAATATCAAGAAATCAAAAAGTTTCAATTTTTATATTTATAATTTGCGTATATTTTGTTAAAATTTCAGGAGTAGGTGGCTATGGTCACGTCTCATGCCTCAATCTTTAGTTTCACCAGTGAAAGGACTTTATCTTTATGGAGGAGTTGGAACTGGAAAAACCATGTTAATGGATTTATTTTATGATCAATTGTAAGCATTATTTATTTATTTATTTTGACTAATACTGAAGTCAATGGGACAAAAAAAATGGACTTGTTTGTTGTTCCACTTAATATAAGGTGGGATAAAGACTTGCTCTTGAATCTGATCTCTTGTTTGTGCAAAAGACGTAAATGCCCTTATCGTGGAAAAGGATTCAACATTTGGTTTACCTTTTTTATATGTAATTTTGAATTTATTAGGCCTAGCAATTGGAGGAAAAATAGGATCCATTTTCATGACTTCATGTTGACCGTACACAGTCGCTTGCAGGTAAAGTTGCTTCCTTTATGTCTGTCAGAATAGCTGGTAGCTGATAAGCTAGCTGTACTGTCTGATAAAGTAATAATGTTTTGTAAAAAGTAGATGACATAAAAGGACATTTCGATATATATAATTTAAAAGCTAACATGTAAGGGTATATTTGGAAACTTGTGGAAAAAATCCCAAGGTTGTGTTTGTTAGAATAGCTGGTAACTGATAAGCTAGCTGTACTATCTGATAAAGTAATAATGTTTGGCAAAAAGTAGATGAAAAATGTAAAACTAACATAAAAGGGCATTTAGATATATAATTTAAAAACTAACATGTAAGGGTATATTTGGAAACTTGTGGAAAAAATCCCAAAGTTGTGTTTGTTAGAATAGCTGGTAACTGATAAGCTAGTTGTACTATCTGATAAAGTAATAATGTTTGGTAAAAAGTAGATGATAAATGTAAAACTAACATGAAAGGATATTTAGATATATAATTTAAAAACTAACATGTAAGGGTATATTTGGAAAAGTCACTTTATTTCTATTATATTTAAAAAAAAAAAATTCATAATTGCAGAGGCATAAAGGTGTTGCTGATCCCCTTGAAGTTGTTGCAGGAGAAATATCTCATGAATCCATTTTATTATGCTTAGATGAGTTTATGGTATGTAATATGTTACCAAAAAAAAAAAAAAAAAAAAAATCCTTTTGAAATTTATTATAATGATGATATTACAGGTGAATGATGTGGCGGATGCTTTAATACTAAATCGATTATTTGGTCATCTTTTTAGTAATGGTGCTGTAAGTGATAGAAAATCTATAAAATTTTGAATATCTTTTAAGAATTAAATCCTCTTCAATATTAATAAATCTAAATAATAATAATTTTTTTTTTTTTTTTAAATTTTGTAATGGAAGTATAGATACTTGTTGCTACATCAAACCGAGCTCCAGATAATCTTTATGAACGTGGACTACAAAGAGATCTTTTTCTACCCTTCATTGCCACATTAAAGGTAAACTCAATTTTTCAATATTCCATTTTTACCCTTTTTCATTGGTAATTACCAATTTACCATTTTTGTCCATGGATGCAGGAAAGATGCATTATACATGAAATCGGTTCTTCAATAGATTATAGGAAGAGGACATCGGTAAATGCTAAACTCTTTTTAACTTTTTAATAATTACAAATCTGCCCTCATTCATTCAATTTCCTCAAGTGTGTTATATAACTTATTTGATTTCCGAAATATTTTATAATTTTTTATTTTTAATTTTTTTGAAATGAAGGCTGAAGAAGGTTTCTACTTCATAAAAAATGATGACTCATCCGATTTCCTTCTCCAAAAGTTTCAAGAATTGGCTGGGGAAAATACAGCTCGTCCCCAGGTGGCAGAAGTTGTTATGGGTAGAAAACTACAGGTACATGTACAAGGGTAAAAATGTCATTTCATATGTTTTCAGCAGCAATCACCCTCTTTCTTTCTTTCTTTCTCTTTAAATAAAGTGATGTTTGGATAAATGATTTCTAAAAAATATACGAGAAAATAGAAGAAACAACACCTAAGATGACTAATTTGTTTTTTTTTTTTCTTTTACAATATATGAATTAAACATATTATTTTGTAGTAATTTTTTTTTTTTTTTTGAGTAGGTACCATTGGGTGCAAATGGATGTGCATATTTTCCTTTTGAGGAACTATGTGACAAACCACTTGGTGCTGCTGACTATTTTGGATTATGTAGTAAGTGAATTTATTAAATTTGAAATTTTATAATCAATTAATTTAATTTGTCAAAACAATGTGGGTCCCATTTTTAGTTTTTAACAAATGAATTTTTTTAATTACAGAAAAGTTTCATACATTGGCTTTGGATGGTGTGCCGATTTTTGGGCTCCACAACAGGACCGCAGCCTATCGGTTTGTCACTCTCGTTGATGTGAGATTCTTTTTTTTTTTTTTTTTTTTTTTTTGAGTTTGTGCAAAAGACGTAAATACCCTCATCATTGAAAATAATTATTACAGGTGATGTACGAGAATAAGGCGAGGTTGATGTGTAGAGCCGAAGGGACTCCTTTTGACCTTTTTGAAAGGATTGTGACCATTTCGGATGCTCAAAGTAGGGCACCTAGAACCTCATCAAGGTCGAGGAAAAATGACGATTATGACCTTTGTGTTGATAATGAACTCGGGTTTGCAAAAGATCGTACTATTAGTAGGTATGTCAATTCATTTTCTCATGTAAAATTACATACTTCTCCTTGCACATATGTTCATCTACTTGAAATTTTAATTAATTATGGAATTTTGCAATGAAAACAGGTTGACAGAAATGAACAGCAGTGAGTATCTGGAGCAACATGCAGAAATGATATCAGAAAAACAAAGGAATGAAGATAATAATAATGCTGTTCATGCTCATGCTCATGTAGTACAAAGTCGATAGGAGGAGAATCATTCAGCTTTCATCAACAATTCTTTTTTCATATTTTATGGGGACATAAAGTTGGTGGATTACACTCACTGAAAAGGCCATGTTTTTGGTGTAATAACATTTTTAGTTGGAACTTGTAAACATGACGTATTTCTTTTTGTTGTACTTTTGTAATAATGTGGTTTATCATGGAATCAATCCATATGGAGACTATGTAGCTTAATTTAAACTTCAGAAAAAGCCAATTTCACAGCAAATACTGATTGTGTCGAGCAAGTGGCAACTATTGTTGTAAATGTGAAATCAGTTAACAGCTGATCGTGTTGTAACAATATTAGAAAGTTTAGCAATTAAGAACAACTAAATCGTTAAATAATGTATAAAGTAGAAAATGAATCAATAACTAAATCAATATGCAAAATAATGTTTCATACCAAACACATGTCTGAAATTAATAAGAACCAAATGAAAATTAAAATATATAATGTCCATTGGTTTTTTATATCATATGCTTCTCCATCTTAATACCAAAAAGATAGTGTAAAGGGAGTAGGGTATGTATGCACATGCACAACTATTATCTTTATGTTCCTTCAAATGACACATCTTTCTGTCTGTCTGTTTTTCAGTCTGCCAGTCTGTTTGTCTTCAACGTTGAAAAGAGATGGAATAAGAGCCGGTATTTGGATCTTTTACCGCTTTAAAATTGTCCACACTCATCCCAAATTTCCCTAAAATTGTGTTCCCCATATCTTTCAACTTCCCTACAATATACATATTCAAACACATATTTCAATATTTTTATAATTTTTTTTTAAAATTAAAGTTAACTATTATTATTATTACCAAGCATCTCTTCCTTCATCTTTTCACGTTTTTCTACAGCCAATGGTTCTAAACGGATAATTGTCCTCTTAGCTTGCTTATTTGAAGGATCTAATTCCAAGATTTTCTTCATACCTAAAAAGTACAACAATGTTAATAAAACAAATTTCAAAAAAAAGAAATGATTAATCAAAATGTTAATTATTTAACTTAATTACCAGCAATAGCATCTTCATAATTTTCAAGCTTCTCATGTGCTTCTGCTTTTCTAACAAGAGCTTTCATGTAAGTAGGGTTTAGTTCCAGTGCTTTTGTGCACTCTTTTATAGACTCCTCATACTTCCCCTGTCATATATATAACTCCATAGATATATAGCATAAGCACATGAAGATTAAGACTTTAAATCTAATTACAAAATTTAATTGATAAGGTAAGATGAGAACTCACAAGTTTAAAGAAACATGTTGCACGATTGTTGTGACAAATTGACCTTATTTCTGAAAGTGAGGAGATTTCGGGTGCAAGTTGTATGGCATAATCATACTTCAATAAAGCCTCTTCATATAAACCATCTCCAAATAACTTGTTGCCTTCAACTTTTGCCTCATTCATTTCTGCTAAAAGTTTCTGCATCTCCAAGATAATAAGTGAGCAACATTGAATTCAACTTTTTTTCAAGCAACTATTCTTTTGTCTCATGGTGGAACTTATACATGATCCTAAATGGAGATTTTTTAGAATTCGGATTCAATCCCAAGCCCTAGGATTAGACTAGTTACCGCAAGAATATCCTAGTATAGCCTTCATACACTTTACATTGTTCATATGGAGAGTGGAAGAAAAAAGTAGAATCCAGCTATATCAAGAACTCAAGAAGCATATTACCAGTGATAAGAGTATCATGTATTAGACGTTTTGAACACCATGAGTGATGCGAATCATGTGTTAAAAACCATCTAAAAGCAAAATCAACATAGAGCTAGCAAGCAAAATCAATCCGAAGATTCCAATCAGCAGCTAATTGGCAAGATGATATTGTAAAATGCTTCAAAACACAAATTCTAGGTATGACACCATTGCACAAAATCAAAAACTCAACGCAGATGCCAGAGGCTTTAACTAAATGTCAAAACCTAAACACCGCAGAGTATATGAATTATAACCTCGAAAGCGAGAAAGAGTGAACCTGCTTGAGTTCGTCTTCGTCGAGCGTATCTTCAAAGCACTGATCCTTTGACGCCACAGACAGTTCTTCCGGTTGGTGTTGTTTATGTTCAATGGCGTCATTTGAATTGTTATTATCATCAGATACAGTCTGATCATCGCCAACTTCGGTCTCGCTTGCGGTTTCGAAACCATCGGACGCGTATCCGTCGCCGGTTACTCTGTCGTCACTTTTATTATCTACTCCGGCGGCGTTTGCTTGATCGCCACTACTTGAATCTACGCTGCCGGGGGCAACGGTGGTTGATTTTGACCTTTTTGGTTCGTCATCAGTCGACGGAATCGGCTCAAGCACTACCATTTTCAACGTTTCTCACAGAAACACACACCCACACACACATAAATCTTAAAAATCGCAATCGACGGCAAGAGGTGTCTTTTCGTTGCAGAACTCGACGACGATTCTAGAAACAAATTGGGTTTTACGTTTTCCACGACTTCCGTAAATTTCATTTCAACCACATGTAGATTCGAAAACGCACTTTTAGTCCTTTTTTAACTCCTACAAATAACCCCATTATAATCTTTGTAAGGTAAGGGTTGGCCTGTCCAAGGTTAAAAAAAAAAAAAAAAAAAAAAAAAAAAAAAAAAAAAGCTTTTAAACACCTAATTAATTTATGAGATTTCTCCACAAAAGTTATAATATGTTTGAGAATTCTTTTAACAAAGTCATAAATTTTATTTTTTAAATCGAAAAATCTAAAATTTTAATTTTTTGAATAGAAAAGCTTAAAGAACCGATTAATTTATTCATTTTAGTCCAGTTTTGACATGTTCAACGGATCATAAGATAAAATCGTTAATTTTTTCGAAATAATATGATTTTACTGCAGATTTCATGAAAACTTATATATATTGTATAAACGTAGTTTTAGGTATTTATATTTATTTTTACATATTTCTATAATTTTTTAAAGTTTTATATGTATATATTTACGTATTTTTATGTATTTTAAATATACAAACATATATATATATATATATATATATATATATATATATATATATATATATATATATATTAGTATTTTACATTTTTTATGTATTTTTATGTTTTATTTTTTATGTATTACATTTTTATATATCTATTTTTATGTATTTACATATTTTTGTAAGTTTTTATATGTATATGTTTGCATTTGTTTTTTTTTTATATATTTTAAATTTATAAATGTATTTTTTTACGTATTTTTTAGTATTTTATATATATATATTTTTTGTTTATTTTTATATGTTATCTTTTATGTATTACATATTTATGTATTTTTGAAGTTTTTTATATAGATGTTTATGTATTTTAAATGTATAAACATGTTTTTACGTATTTATATGTATTTTAAAATATTTTACATATTTTTATGTGTTTTTTATTTATTATGTATTTATATGTATTTTTATGTAATTATGTATTTTTTTTGTTAACTTTTTTATATAGATGTTTATGTATTTTTATGTATTTTAAATATATAATTGAGTTTTTTTTTTTTTTTTTTACGTATTTATATATTTTTTACTTCAAGTTGTTTTCACTATTTCATCCAATTCGTACAACTTCTTCGAGTATGTCTAGATGGTTTTCCTACATACCCACATATTTTAAGGTTTTCTCATTCTCTTATTGTTAAATCGTTGTAACATACGATTTAAGCAACTAAAATATCACTGCTGGTTGTACTAATGGATAACACATGGAAGCATGGTCGAATCCTCAGAGACACAGCCTTATGATCAATGCCTCTTTGTGTAAGACACATACTATTCATTTAACATAAAATAATAAAAAGGGTTTTTTTTATTAAAAACCAAATTAAAAGTTATAGTGAAATTAACAAACAAAATTAGTAATAAAAACAATTCAGTATTGCTAAGACTTTCCTAATCGTTCAATCAGCTCAAATCTAGTTATTCAGAATGCATTCTATCTAAGCGTATAATGAGAAAAACTAATAATATCTAGTATAATATATTTTACATAGTTAAATTAACCAAAACAAGCTCTTTAGTTAACCCTAACTTTTTACTGTCTAATTAAACAAGCTCTTAATTAAGATCAGAAAAGTTGCATTAAGTTCTGTGTAAAATTCTCAGCAATACCCAATACTTCTCACAAGCTTGGAAGCGTAAATGTATGAAATTTCAGTTTATAATAAAGTCAAATCCAAACATAGAACCGATTTATTATCTGATACTTATTACCAGATTGTCAAAACAATTACGCATTTGAACAACTGATTAACTAGATTATTTAAATCCTAGCTAGGTGATCAGACTAATAAGATTTAAAAATCAAACATTTATTAATTTTGCTAAATTAAATGTAGGAGGTGATTTACAACCTTCAGATCTTTAGAAATTGTTGAAATCGGAGACAAATCGCCTTTGGAAGGATTTATTGTCGTCTTGAATTGTCTCTCGTTCAACTGAGAGAACATCTTGTATTTATATAGCAGTTTGGGTAGCAAACAAGGGTTCTGGCAATAAGCACGTCCCGTGCTTAGGGGGCACGGCCTGTGCCAAGTCATTACAACTTGAAAATCCAAAAGAAATCACAAAAAATGAAAATCTAGGGAAGCAAAGCCCATTCTTAGGAAGCACAACCTGTGCTTGGGCTTCACAGGTTAAAATACCCAAAATAAAGGCATGTGGAGGTAGGCACGACTCGTGTTTGGGAGGCACGATCCGTGCTTCAGGACCGAAGTTTTAAAATGCCTTAAAAAGAATCGAAAATCTTTCGGTTATGTTTCATAACTGAAGAATGACCCATGTCTGGTGAGGTATAGCCTGTATTTGGTCATTTTTAGCATTTTGCTCCATATATGCTCCAATTATGCTCCAGATATACAACAAAGACTCTCAAACTACCGCTCCACATCAAGTTACATGAAATAGACACCAAAACTTGAGCAGTACTTATTCTTACGAAATACATGAGCTGGACATTATTTAAACTAATGCACATGAAAAAGAATAAATATGATGCAAAATACTAATAAAAGTTAATATAAAAGATGCATAAAATGACATCTATCATTTATCTTGAGATTAAACATCGAATCTGAAAAGCTTAAAATATGTGGGTATGTAGGAAAACAATCTAGGTGTACTCGAAGAAGCTGTACGAATTGAATGAAATGGCAAAGACGACTTGAAGTAAAAAAAATACATAAATATGTAAAAATAATATTTTTATACATTTAAAATGTAACATCCAAAAAGCATGGTATGTCTTGAAAACCCTAAAGAGTTATATTTGTGCATAATTAGTCCCTTAAGTACGCGGGGCATACTTAAGCGTACA